AGATCAGACACCCCTAAGCATACCACCAGACACCCCTAAACACACCAGGTCAGACACCCCCTAAACACACCATCAGACACCCCTAAGCACACCACCAGACACCCCCTAAATACTCCATCAGACACCCCCTAACACACCCGGGCACACCCAGCCTCTGTGTTGAGGGCTGGCTTTTCTGGCGCCTCCAGGGGAGCGGAGAGGCTTGGGTGGGGGAGCCACGCGTCGGCTCCTAGAGAGTCGGGGCCATGCTGCTCCAGGCCCAGGCGCCCGCAGCTCTGAGAGGCGGAGCCTCAGGACAAGGGCCGCGTTAGCACACAGCCTCTTCGGGGACACGCGGGACCATCTCGCCTGTCCCAGGAGGCTCAGGGCAACTGGAAACAGAGCAAAACAGGAAAGCTGAGCTCCTGAGAGGGGAGGGCGTGCTCCCCACCCCCGCTGATTCCCGCCCTCGCCCGTCTGTCCGTCCTAAGGAGACCAGGCTCTTCCTCAAAAGGGTTGAGGCCGAAGGGGAAGGAGGTCCAGACGCTGTCACGCACAGACACGGGGTGGGGGTGGGGGGGCGGGGGATCTGGGCGGTAGCTCAGATCGAAACAGAACGCACTTATCACCAACGTCCGGCTGCAGCCCAGCGGCTGAGCCCTGCCCGGGACCCGGCAGCTGGAGCAGCGTCCGCGCCCCAAAAGGCTGCAGCCTTCGTTCCCGATCGGGGCTCGTACTGGACACAAGCGATCGATGCTACTCCCTCCCTCCCTCCCTCCCTCTCTCTAAAATCAATTGTTTAAAAATTTTACAAATGAACAATTCATCACAGAGAGAGGTGAGCTGGTTCAAGCGTCATTTTCCGCAGGGAGGAGGCTCGAATCTTCCAAGCAACAAAACTAAAACAACCGAACAATCCGGTCCTCGCGTCCTCGGCGGGTTTTACGGGAGTTTCGCGCAGAACTTGGCTGCCTTTCTCGTTCCCGGGGCCCCGAAAAGGCCACGTTCTCCTCGTTTCTCTCAGGGAACGGCTGGCTGTGTTTTGGCCCCGAACTCTTCAACCCTCAGTCTAGGAGCCTACCCTCAGCGCCCCAACCGGCTGCCCCCTCACCCATCCATGGCGGCCTGGGCCCGGGGCCTGCCCGCTCCGCCCCGCCCGGGAATGCCAGGGAACAGTGGCCGGATTCTAAACCGACGCCCTGGCTTAAAGGGACCCTCCCGACCGCTTCCCGGCGCCTGCCCAGCGTTAGGACGCGCACGACTGGGTGCAACTCCGTGTTCGCTGGCGCGACGGGAGCCTCGGAAGCGCGCCGTCCATCACCCCGACCGGGAGCCGGACACGCAAATCCCTCCCAACGACCCAGAGGGAAAGCTCGGTGCCAGGTCTTCAATGTGCGCTGAACAGTGAGACCCCCCACCCCCCACCCCGCACTTGTTCCCGAGAGCTAGAACCGTCTTCCGGCGTCCGAACAAACCGCCTGCGGTGCGGAGAGGCGCTCCCGAGGAGAGCGGACGCAAGGTTCTCACGTCACAGCGCCTGCAGGTGGCCGTCCCGTGTGCGGTGTGACGCCAGGTGCGCGGGGAGGCGCTGCTCCGTGTTCGAGACGATCAGAGATCCAGGAGGTGAGCACACGTGCATCTCACACAGGGTAAGAAGTGACCCGAACCCGGCCTGTATGGCTCAGTGGTTGAGCGTTGACCTATGAACCAGGCGGTCAGGGTTCGATTCCTGGTCAGGGCACAGGCCCTGGTCGCAGGCTCCATCCACATTTGGGGGGTGGGGCGGGCGTGCAAGAGGCAGCCGATCAGTGATTCTCTCTCATCATCGATGCTTCCATCTCTCTCTCCCTCTCCCTTCCTCTCTGAAATCAATAAAAATATACATTTTTTAAAAAGTGACCCTGAACCTCTGGCCATAGCCTCTGCACAGCCCCCCACCTCAGGGCCCAGAACAGCTCCTCATGGTTCCAGGCTCATGTGTGTCCTGGACGGGCCTTTGCTGGCCCAAGGCAGCCAGTGCCCGGTGCATGGGCCCTGCCCTGTGACGTCCCGCCGTCTGTCCTGCAGCCCTCCAGTTGGGCCCGGCCGGGCGCGGAGCCCTGGGTCCCGGGCGCAGAGCCCTCCGTCCCGGGCGCGGAGCCCTGGGTCCCGGGTGCAGAGCCCTCCGTCCCGGGCGCGGAGCCCTGGGTCCCGGGTGCAGAGCCCTCCGTCCCGGGCGCGGAGCCCTGGGTCCCGGGCGCAGAGCCCTCCATCCCGGGCGCGGAGCCCTGGGTCCCGGGCGCAGAGCCCTCCGTCCCGGGCGCGGAGCCCTGGGTCCCGGGCGCAGAGCCCTCCGTCCCGGGCGCGGAGCCCTGGGTCCCGGGCCACCTCCCCCCTCCGACCCGCTTCCTCGTGCGTTCACTCTGGAAGACACTCGGGGGCGTCCCTCATTGTGAGTTTGTGTTTGAGTTGAACCTGCACTAAAAAATGAAGGAAAAAACAGCTTTTTTACAGGCGGCACGTCATGGTTTCCACCCCGGGCTGGAGCTTGAGGACAATTATTTGTTGTGCATTGAAAGTTCAGTTTTGCAGGACTGAAGTTTTCCTGTCGCAGTACATGACAATTTCAAGTGATGCCTCCTGCCTGCAGCACCCGTGTGCTAGGAGCCCAGCCCCGGGTGATGTGTGCGGGGCGGGACTATGCCCGGGGGAGGGGCTAGGTTCCTCGGCTCTGACCGCAGGCTCGGCAAGCGCGGGAGCTGGGAACTGTGCCACATCCTCCCTCCACAGCTGCTCCCACTTCCCGTTACTGACAGGATGCCTGTTTCTGTAAGTGGCCCCAGCTCCCTCTCCTAGGCCCACCCTCCGGGGCCAGCGAGTGGGGCATGGATGCTCCACACGGATGCTCCACACACAGATGCTCCACACACGGATGCTCCACACACAGATGCTCCACACGGATGCTCCACACACGGATGCTCCACACGGATGCTCCACACAGATGCTCCACACACGGATGCTCCACACGGATGCTCCACACACAGATGCTCCACACACGGATGCTCCACACACAGATGCTCCACACGGATGCTCCACACACGGATGCTCCACACACAGATGCTCCACACACGGATGCTCCACACGGATGCTCCACACAGATGCTCCACACACGGATGCTCCACACGGATGCTCCACACACAGATGCTCCACACACGGATGCTCCACACAGATGCTCCACACATGGATGCTCCACACACAGATGCTCCACACACGGATGCTCCACACACAGATGCTCCATACAGATGCCCCACACGGATGCTCCACACGGATGCTCCACACACAGATGCTCCACACACGGATGCTCCACACACAGATGCTCCACACGGATGCTCCACACACGGATGCTCTACACACAGATGCTCCACACACGGATGCTCCACACGGATGCTCCACACAGATGCTCCACACACGGATGCTCCACACGGATGCTCCACACACGGATGCTCCACACACGAATGCTCCACACACGGATGCTCCACACGGATGCTCCACACAGATGCTCCACACACGGATGCTCCACACGGATGCTCCACACACAGATGCTCCACACACGGATGCTCCACACACAGATGCTCCACACGGATGCTCCACACACGGATGCTCCACACACAGATGCTCCACACACGGATGCTCCACACGGATGCTCCACACAGATGCTCCACACACGGATGCTCCACACGGATGCTCCACACACAGATGCTCCACACACGGATGCTCCACACAGATGCTCCACACATGGATGCTCCACACACAGATGCTCCACACGGATGCTCCACACACAGATGCTCCATACAGATGCCCCACACGGATGCTCCACACGGATCGCCTGCCGGGACGGCCCATCCCTCCTCCCCTGGCTGGTGCTGACCTGTGCCCGTCTCTGTAATAAAACACACCGTGAACATGACCGCGTGTAGCGGGCTCCGTGAGCCCCTTGGGTCCCTCAGACCGGGACCTGGTGTCCAGAGGGGCAAGTGGGGGAGGGTCCTCCCTGCAAACTTCCCCGAGCTCAGGAGAACCTCAGAGTACGCAGCCGATCGTGACAAACTCTCCCTTCCGGCCATTCTTAGACGTAAAAGCAAACTGGGAAGGGAAAATTAATGGAATCAAATGTGTGTGGGGGTTTAGAGCAACGATTCCAGGCGCTTGGAGGACTTTCTTACAAGAGGAAGAGGCGGCTGAACCCGCGTGGCTGAGACGGGTGATGTGTGGGTTGGGAAGCAGCTGAGCAGCGCAGCCTGGGTCCAGTGGGACCTGGGCCGGAAGGTCCTGCTCCCCCTCCCTGGCCCGTGGCCTGGAGCAAACGGCCCAGCCTCTCTGTGCTCCCCTTCCTCACCCCAACGAGAGCCTAACTGTGCCCGCTTCACCCCCCTGCCGCCGGGTCCTGCAGCCACTCGGCGAGCACACGCCACAGCCATGCGCTTGGCACGTGCTCCCCGGGCGGGTGCCGTGCTCCGACCGCACCTCAGACTCTCCCTCCGCCTCCCAGGTGACGGGCAGGCGCACCCGTTTACCTGCTTCCCCGACTCAGTGCGGCCGGTAGACACAGAATTACAACCAAAGTCCATCTCACTCCAAAGCCCAAATCAGGCTGAACAGAACCAAGGTGAGTTGGGGTCAGCTGGGGGTCGGGACCAAGGTGAGTTGGGGTCAGCTGGGGGTCGGGACCAAGGTGAGTTGGGGTCAGCTGGGGGTCGGGGCCAAGGTGAGTTGGGGTCAGCTGGGGGTCGGGGCCAAGGTGAGTTGGGGTCAGCTGGGGGTCGGGACCAAGGTGAGTTGGGGTCAGCTGGGGGTCGGGACCAAGGTGAGTTGGCTTATTTTACTTTCACATTCTCTTGGGGATGGACTAGAAAAGAACACGAAATATGCAGCCAGAGAAAAGAATGAGTGCTGAGTGTCCTTTTCTAGCTCCAGCTCCAAGATAATGTGGAAATAAAATAAGCGGAGGTGGGAGCCGGGCCTGACCACCGGGAACCGAGCGGGCGCAGCGGGCTCCGGCTCCCAGGAAGCACGCTCCCCTAGAGCCCAGCCTTTCATTTTAAAAAGACAGAGAAGGTTCCACGCACCTGGCTCCCCGGTGCCGGGCAGCTGAGGACGGAGCAGGCCCCGGCGGCCTCGGGCAGCAGCTGGACCTCATGGGGGGCGGGGGGGAGTGACCACAAGTTCCCCTTCTTCAGGCAAAACAAAACCGAAGCAGACGCGGGGGTTTTGCTCCGGCCGTTCCCAGGCCGCTTTCGGTTTGCCCCTGACTCGCCCGTGCCGCCTCAGCACTTTTCTTGCTGAGAAAATGCAGAAGCTGGAGCTCCCGGCCGGAGAGGCTTCCCTTCCCCTCGGCGAGAGCATCCCCCGGGCAGACTGTCCGCGGCTGGGAGCCTCCGCGGACCGCGCGACATGCCGCCAGCTAACTGCTCGGAGCACAGCGTGGGGGCGGAGGCGGCCGTGGCCTCGCTGCTGGCGCTGGAGTGCGGGCTGGGCCTGCTGGGCAACGCCGTGGCCCTGTGGACGCTCCTCTTCCGCCTGAAGGTGTGGAAGCCGCCCGCCGTCTACCTGGTCAGCCTGGTCCTGGCGGACCTGCTGCTGACCCTCTGCCTGCCCTTCCTGGCCGCCTTCTTCCTGCGGCACAAGACCTGCGGCCTCGGCCGCGCGCCCTGCCGGGCCCTGTTCTTCCTGTGGCCCCTGGGCCGCGGGGCGGGCGTGGCCTTCCTCACGGCGGTGGCCGTGGACCGCTACTTCCGCGTGGTCCACCCGCGGCTCAGGGTCAACCTCCTGTCCCCTCGGGCGGCCTGGGGGGTCTCGGGCCTGGTCTGGCTCCTGATGGCCGTGCTCAACCACCAGAGCCTGCTCGTGCCCGAGGCCGAGTGCCCGGCGTCGGACCCCAGCACGGGCGGCCCCTCCGGCCGCGCCTGGCAGGAGGCGCTGTCCTTCGCCCAGTTCATCCTGCCCTTCGGCCTCGTCCTGTTCTGCAACGCGGCGATCATCCGGGCCCTGCGGGGGCGGCTCCGGGCGCCGGGCAAGCAGCCCAAGCTGCAGCGGGCCCGGGCGCTGCTGGCCGCCGTCGTGGTTCTGTTTGTGCTCTGCTTCCTGCCCAGCTTCCTGGCCCACGTGGCGCTGGCCGTGTGCCGGGGCGTGGGCGGCTGCGGGGCCCGCCGGGCCCTGGTGCTCGCGGCCGATGTGGCCAGCAGCCTGACCGGCCTGCAGAGCGTGCTGAACCCCGTGGTGTACTGCTTCTCAAACCCCGCGTTCCGGCACTCCTACCGCAAGGTCTTCCTCAGCCTCCGGGGCCAAGGGCCGGGCACCCAGGCCCCAACCTGCGACCTCAGGGACTCGGACTCCTGAGCACGGCCCGCCCCGGGCTCGTGGGACCCCCGCCCTGGCTCCTGGGCGCCCCGGGACCTTTGTCAGGATCCAGGCAAAGAGAAACCTCGAGACTGCGCTGCAAGGAGAGGCCACAGTCGTCAGCAAAATGGACATTCTTCTTCGTCTTGTGCGCCAGCACTTCCTTCGGCTGCTACACAAAACGGCCGCAGATCAGACAGGACGCGAGGCCTCCCGGTCCCTGTGTGCGTGGCTGCCGTGACATGGCCACACCGCAGCCCCCCAGGGCTGTCCAGGGCGGCCCCTGTGGGGGAGGAGCCGGAGGCCCTGTCATTCTCACTCCCTCTCGTCTCCGTGAGTCACTCTCCTCTTGGCTTGTTGGTAAATGCAAGTGTGTGCGCTTCCCGCCTGCTGCGCGGACGCACGGGGATGGTGGGCCTGGCGGGCCAGGGAGGGCTGGGGTGGGAGGTCTGCACCCAGCGGGCTGGGCACCGGTCGGCCCAGGTTCATGCTCGTTGCTTTGTTTGCACGACTGTCCGTTACATCAGAGACAGCCCAGCACCCTGGTCATTGTAACAAGCACCTTCTCACTAAACGTCTCGCAATCCCTCCGGAACAGTGTTCTAAATGTGAATTTGCAAATGCCTTTAACCCTCCGCGGTGCTGGGGGCCCTGGGAGGAAGCCAGGCTGAGGGGCCAGGGCTGTGGAGGGGGATCCCACTCGATGCCGCGCAGGACAGGGCAGAGGGCGCCCGGGGGCCTGCAGGGAAGGTGGGCGGCTGCACCCAGCCCTGGCCACGCAGGCAGCGGCCGCATCGTCTCACGTCATTCCTCTCAAAGGACGGCCCTAACATGTAGCTCAGGATGGTGACGAAAAGGTGTGGGAGTCGCCTTCCTGACCCCTCACCTCATTCCCTGCTCAAACCTGGACGTGGGGTCCCCACAGGGATTCAGCCACGTGCTCTGAGGAGGCGCAAGGGCTGCTTTGTAATGATGGGGTCCCCATGGCCACACCTGACGGCTGCTCACCTGGCCGCCTCCCCAGCGGGAGCCAGGCCTGCGTTGCCCACAGAGAGGGCATTGCTTTCCCGAGGGTGGTCCCGTGACCTGTGTAACATTTAAGGCTGGAACCCACGGTGTTGGGCAATAGAAATGGCACAACCACTGCCTTCGGACCTGCCTGCCCATGGGGAGGGGGGGAACGGAGGTTCTGATCAGACCTGACCTTGACGCCTGACCCCAGAGAAGAACGGGCTCAGGGTCCCGGGGCCTGGTTCCCACAGCAGCGCCCGAGGCTGCCCCGGCTCCTCCCTCCCAGGTGCACAGACTCAGGGCTGAGGGAGTGCGAGCGGGCGCAGACAGGAAGGCCGGTACCGCCCCCCCCCGCCCCCCGCGGGGCGTCCAGGGCTGTGCTCCCTTTCGCTGAAAGCACCGCCCCTGGTTCCCCCCAGAGCTCCCCGCTCTGCAGCCTCAGGTGCTGCCTGGAAAAGCCACCCTTTCACATCGACATCCCCACGTCCCTAAACTCCCCCCGGGCAATTCAAAAGGACCTACATTTTTATTGGTTTCAGAGAGGAAGGGGGAGGGAGAGGGAGGGAGAGAGAAGCATCCGTGATGAGAGAGAATCATGGACCGGTGCCTCCTGCACGCCCCCCCACTGGGGATGGAGCCCGCAGCCCGGGCTTGTGCCCTTGACTGGGAATCGAACCCGGGACCCTCCAGTCCACAGGCCACACTCCATGCACACAGGCTTCTTTCCTGGGTTACCCGGTCGTCTCTCCGGTGACGTTTCCTAACCGCTTCCCTGCCCAGGGACACTGAGGCCGTGGCTCTCCCCACAGCGACTCCACCCCGAGGTCACAGGCCACCTGACCCCACAGCTGCCCACTCGGCCCAGGTGGGCAGAGCTGCCCAGACACAGGTGCCTCCCAGACACGGTCCCTCCGCCCTCCCGTGACCCCAGGAGGCTGCAGCTGCGCCGCCCCCCCCCCGCCCCCCGCCAGCTCACATGTCAGCTGGGCAAATGGGGACGTCACATCCCAGTGCGGCTGCCTCTCGGGGTCTTGCTGCCTGTTTTGTGGGCAGAGCCGGCAGCCCTCCTCCTGCTCGGCCCTGAGTCAGCTCAGCGCGGCCAGTGGGGACCTCAGCTTCTAGAAAACACGGGCCTCAGCCGACCGGGTTCCAACGCGGGGCCTGGAGTCGCCTCCTGACTGTCCACGTGCAGCCAGGGCCGAGGCCGGGTCAGTGGCCGTGGTCGGGGCCTTGGGGTCCACGCCCTGCTCTGTCCCTTCCCAGCTCCGTGACCCGAAACACATCACCACGCCTCTCGGCCTATCCTCTGCCGTGACACGGGGGTGATGCAGACCAGCGGGGAGCGTGTGGGGCTGAACACGGCTCCGACTGGGGGGCTGAGCACAGCGCCTGCCCATCGAACGCAGCCAGCGGCTGTCACTTTGCTGGTGCAAGTGACCAGCGTGTGCTCGTATCTTTGCTGACGGCCCAGCCGGACGGGGGCTCCTTGGGGACCTACTTTTCCCTGCGCACCCTCTAGGCCAGGGGTGGGCAAACTTTCTGACTCGAGGGCCACAATGGGTTCTTAAACTGGACTCAGAAGAAGGAGCTGCGGCCGTGTTTCCCGACGTTGCCATGTTAACACTGCTGCTGGTGAAGGAGCGGAGGGGAGAGCAAGAGAACCCTCCGCTCTTCCGGCTCCGCGGGCTGGATAGAACAGCCGAACGGGCCGGATCCGGCCCGCGGGCCATAGTTTGCCCACGGCTGGTCTATGCAGAGCCTGGTGGGGAGCCCGTGAGCCCGACAGGGAGCCCGTGAGCCCGACAGGGAGCCCGTGAGCCGGGTGGAGAGAAATCTGCTCCACGGGTGTCTGTGACTGTTTCCTCCTGCAAACCCTTTGAGACCTTCATAAGGATTCTGTCCCCTCAAGTTTAATTCCACACGTGTGTGCGGCGGGACCAGAGCTCAGACATGAGGGCCAGGCCCGCGAGTGCCCGTCTGAGGGGGTCTTTGGTGCCTGGTCCCCGCGCCCTCGGACGCCTGCAGCTCTGCGCCCAGACACTTCCTCCTTAAACAGGCGGCGGAACGAGATGCTCACCCTCCTCCGAATGATTTCCTCTGAGCAAGGAAATGGCTCAAAAGGGAAGTGAGGCGGACGGTAGACGATGGGCCTCCGACCACAGCTCTGCCTCCCCAGCAAGCCTCAGCCTCCTTAGTGCTGGGTGCCCTCTGGACAGCAGGTGCCAGGCCCTGCCCCTGAGTCCCAGCCCTCGGCACCGCCCAGATCCCAGCCCATCCCAGCCCTCAGCATCGCCCAACCCCTGAGCCCCAGCCCTCAGCACTGCCCAGATTCCAGCCCATCCCAGCCCTCAGCACCACCCAACCCCTGAGCCCCAGCCCTCAGCACCGCCCAGATCCCGGCCCATCCCCAGCTCTTGACACTGGCCAGATCCCGGCCCATCTGCAGCCCTCAGGGCCCCGGATCCCCAGCCCTCAGCACCGCCTGGGTGCAGGGCCATGTGCAGCTGCTGGTTGGACGGGAGTCAGTGGGAGGCAGGGCTGTCGCTGACCGAGCTCGTGGAGGAGGCTCTCCCCGACAGAAAGGCCACACTCCTGAGTGTCCACCTCCAGTGGGCTGTCGGCCTCGGCAGGTGTCTCCACCCCCCACCCCCATCCGTCACGCCGCCCAGAGCAGAGGCAGGAACGATTCCTCACGAACCCCGACTCACCCACACCCACAGCCCCTCCGTCGTCCTCACCATCAGGGAAACAAGCTCCCATAGACCCAGAATTTAGAAAGTTAGAGAGAGGAGATGCCTTCCCTTTAGAGCCGTGGTTCCCAACCTTCCTGACGCCGCGACCCTTTAGTACAGCTCCTCGTGTGGTGGGGACCCCCAATTTCATCGTTACAAATTGAACGTAATTAAAGCACAGTGATTAATTACAAAAACAAGATGTAATTATAGATGTGTTTTCCGACGGTCTTAGGCGACCCCTGTGATAGGGTCGTTCAACCCCCAAAGGGGTCCCGACCCACAGGTTGAGAACCGCTGCTTTAAAGCTTCAGAAAGTTCCTGGCAAGTAGATTTATCTCATCTTTTATTTTTTTTTAAATACATTTTTATTGATTTTAGAGAAAGGACGGGAGAGGAAGAGAGAGAGAGAGAGAGAGAGAGAAACATCAATGATAAGGGAGAATCACTGATCAGCGGACTCCTGCACGACACACACTGGGGATCAAGCCTGCAACCAAACAATGTGTCCTGACCGGGAATTGAACCCTGACCTCATGGTTTATGGGATGATGCTCAGCCAATGAGCCACACTGGCCAGGCAATTATATCTCATCTTTTAAAGTAAAATCTCTTTTTTATTAGTTATCACGCCCTTAAAATTGTGTCCCAAAATAGGCACCTAAAGATATAGAGAGAGACCTTATTTCCCAAATCATATACATATACATACATTCATAAAAACACGCATGTGCTGTAAACAAAACAAACACAGAAGCAAACACACAAAAACACAGGTAGTCATGTGGCAAAAGCCACGAAGGAGCCGGCCTCCTGTTAGGTGAGTATTAAAGGCAATGAGAGTGAATTGCAGCCCGATTTTTAAACTTAATTACTCCAAGGGTTTTATTCCAATTTCCAGAGGACACAGTAGAAGATTGTATTGAAGTTCTCGCACTGCGACCCGGCCACTTTGCCACGTACGTAGGGTTGGGGAGCCTGTGGCTGAGGGAGCACTCCTGCGGGGGCGGCCTGCAGCCAGCAGAGGGCAGCGGCGCCCCGTTGAGGAGGCAGGTGGCCCGCAGGCAGGTCACCTTCTGGGCTTCGGCTCCGAAGAGAGGACTGAGGTCCCCAGTGATGCCTGCACTCGCAGCAGGACGCCCGCCGCCTGTCTCCCTGCGTAACAGGTTCGGGAAAAGGACCCCAAACGTCACCTGGAATTCAGGAACCCAGTTAGTCCCCAACACCAGCAGAAGCTGAAGCTTATAAAATCCTGGCTCTGGCCCTGACCAGTTTAGCTCAGTGGATAGAGCGTCGGCCTGCGGACTGAAGGGTCCCAGGTTCGATTCCGGTCAAGGGCATGTACCTGGGTTGCGGGCACATCCCCAGTGGGAGGTGTGCAGGAGGCAGCTGATCGATGTTTCTCTCTCGTCGATGTTTCTAACTCTCTATCCCTCTCCCTTCCTCTCTGTAAAAAACCAATAAAATATATTTTAAAAAATTACTGGCTCTGTCTGGTCAGGTGGCTCCGTGGTTGAGCATCGACCTATGAACCAGGAGGTCAGGGTTCGATTCCTGGTCAGGGCACGTGCCCGGGTTGTGGGCTCCATCCCCAGTGTGGGGCGAGCAGGAGGCAAGCAGATCAATGACTCTCTCTCACCCTGATGTTTCTCTCTCTCTCTCCCTCTCCCTTCCTCTGAAATCAATAAAATATATTAAAATAATAATAAATAAATTCCAAATGTAGTCTGAAAACTCTGACTGACGGGGTCCGGGGACTGTGGGGTGCCCGGGGAGTCACGGGGGGAGGCCCAGCCACGGTGCCGGTCGGGGCTCTGGGGGCCCATCCTGCTGGCCTGTCTCCCTGGCCCTCCTCTGGCCTCGTCCCAGACGCCTCAGTGGAGACCCCGGCGGCTTCGTGTTCTCACACGTTTAGTGCAGCTGAACTGGCTCCTGAGACCCTCAGCCTCCGTTCTCCCCAAGGCGAGGGGTGCAGCACCCGCCTTCCCCTCCCACGCCGGGGGGACTCCCGCGTGCTCTGGGCATGAGGACGCAGGGTACCTGGCGGAAGGCGTTCCTTGGTGACGGCAGGAGCCAGGCAGCCTCTGGGCCCCTGAGATCGGCCTGGGGCCCAGCCCCCTGCTGACCGTCTGGATGGCCTGCCTGACCCTGAGGCAGCAGAGAGGCTGAGGGGCAGGAGAGATGCCGCTACCACCTTATCCCACACGGACGAAGGGCAAAGGGCAAAGGGCACAGGGCACAGGGCACGGGGCGTGTGCCGATGCCCATGCTGACGGCCCCGCTGTTTCTGAGAAAGTGACTGCGTTGGAAACGGGGTGGTAAAGGGAGATTAAGGCGGGTGAGGTCTGTGGGGTGGCCCTAACCCAGCCCGCCTGCGTCCTCTAAGGAGCGGAGACGGGATTTGGGAGCACAGACGGCCGGCTGTGGCCGTGTGAGGCCCCGGAGGGGAGCCGTCTGCCCGCCAGGAGTGGGGTCCCCGGGGAACACCCACCTGCCCAGGCCCGGGTCTCGGACCCCGGCCTCTCGTCCCGGCAGCCCCAGCGAAAGGTGCCCGGGCACGGAAGCCCACACGCGTGCCCATGGCCAGGGTCTCTGTGCCGACGCCCATGGACGCCGGGGACGTGCACACATCCCCACACATTTTTAAGATCTGAAAATGGACCTTTCAGGCCTCCCTTGCACACCAGCCTGTCCGGCCTCAGGAGCAAATGGGCGGGCAGTTTGCACGATACCGCGGTGCCTCTGACCGAGGTGTGCCGCTGACAAGGTCACACTCCTGCCTGCATTCCCACCCCCGCTGAGGTTTGTGGGTGAAAAGTCTCCTTTGTCCAGAAAGAACCGATGGGGACCCTCTGAGCCACTTTGTAGCAGGAACCAAGAAAACCGTCCCTGGTCACACAGACAGGCGTGATTGCTCACACGCGTGTGACGCCATGAGTGTGCGTGTGTGTGCGGCTACTCCACTAACGACAGGCCGAGGTGTGACGCCCTCCCGGCGAGTGTGTTCTCACAGGTGCCGATGGCCACTCCGCGGACGTGGCCGAAGCCGGTGCGGAGACGAAGGCAGACGCGGAGCCTGGGCGTCGGTGGCGGGAGGACAGGACTGGCAGGGCCAGCCCGAGCACTTCCTGTGGGAGAAGCCCACGCCGCTCGTGCCCGCGGGTGTGGGTGCCGGGTGTCGCCAAACGCGGCGGGTGGGCCTGACCCACCTGATGCCCGCGCAGCGAGGACGCAGACGCCACTCGGCGAAGCAAAGCAGTCAGGGCATTTGGAAACATCTTTATTCGTTGCGGCCGAGTGGGGAAGGGCTGCTGCTTAGGGGGGCGAGCCTCCTCCGGGGACTCCGATCACGCAGAGGTGCCCATCTCCAAGTGCCAGGCACCCGGCGTCTCCATGCCACCTGGGGTCCTGTCCGTGCCAGGCACCTGAAAGAGGCCGCTGGGGGCCTCTCCTTCGCGTTGATATCTGGAGGCGACTGCTAACGGAACACCGAGGCTGCAAGACCGTCTCTACTTCACACGCAAACCAGTTTCGTTTTGCAAAGCCAACGCCATGTTTTAAATGCAAACTTCAAGCCCGGCCAGCGTGGCTCAGTGGTTGAGCGTCGACCTGTGAACCAGGAGGTGATGGTTTGATTCCGGGTCGGGGCTCAGGCCCGGGTTGTGGGCTCGGTCCCCAACAGGGGGCGTGCAGGAGGCAGCCGATCAGTGATTCTCTCTCATCGTTGATGTTTCTCTCTCTCCCTTCTTCTCTGAAATCAATTTAAATTTTTTAAAAAAACTAGTGGCTTTAAAAAAGTTTTTAATGAAACGCAGACTCAAGTCCTGAGATGTCACTTTGAATCCCACGCGGAGACGCAGGTCACGCCCGTGAGAGCGAGAGAACGCTTAGAGGACACGCCCGTCCGCACCGCACGCACAGCCTCCGGGCACCCTGTCAGCGTGTCCCCAGCGTGGCTGTCCTTCGGGACGCGCTGAGCTTTCTCCTCTTGTGCTCCTACCTGTGCACGGCCCTTCCAAACACGGGTTCCAGGAACTTTCTAGAAGTTGAGAGAGTGGAGGAAACCCGATTCCTAGTGGACCGCCGACTCGGGAAAACCTCCCCAGCGTCCACAGCAGAGCCCGGAGGCGCTGGGCCTGCGAGGGACGGAGCCTCCTCCTGGCCCGTTCCCACCCAAAGGGGCAGAGTCCCTGCGTATTTCCTCGGCAGTGTCCTTGTTTTTTAAGTATTTTTATTTTTTAAAAATGTAACACCTCACGCTGTAAGCGGCACTGCCCCTCCGTTTCACTCTGACGTCTGAACGGAACTTAGGACGCCCTCTGTGCGCGGACCCCGGCCCCGGCCCCGGCCCCGGCCCCGGACACTCGGCTGGCGGCTCCCAGCAGGGCCACTTCCAGGGAAGCACAGCGAACGCCCGCTTTCCCGTGCCCCTCACAGCCCGAGGCGCCTGATCCGTGTGACGACGTCTCTGGTGCTTGCCCAGCGCCTTGTCCGCCCGTCTGTCCGCAGCGATTCCGGCTGCGCTCGGGCTGGTTCCCCTGCTGCCCTCGGCCCGCCGCCTCCAGGGCGTCGCTGCCGCTCCGGCCTCCCTGGCACCCGGCGGGCATCGGCTGGATGGAGTGTTTGACCAGAATGCGTGGCACCAGGGCTTTTATTCATTTTTGTTTTTCTGTCTTGGTTTTTCAAACCGTGTGATTGCTTTGCTCTGACTGAAGGAGCAGTGGTCTAGGGCCGGTTCACTAATATTTCCCCGGAGCTCCCGTTGGTCAGCCCTGCCCTGAGACGCGCGCGGCCCGGAGCCTGCCTCTTGGCGCCGGCCGTCAGAGGCGGCAGGATCAGAGTTCCTGGTGGAGGAAATTTGGAAACCGCTACCTGCATGAGCCCCCCCCCCGCCCCCCCCAGATGTCCACAGCCCAAGGCCGCCGCGGTCCCTGTCCCCGGGGAAGACACCGCACACACTCCCGCGAGGATGGCGCCCGGGGTGGGTCACATGGTGAAGGAGGACGGGTTGTCGTTGTCCGCGGTCTCGCTGATCTGCCGGGAGGAGAAGGCCTCCGAGTGCAGCCGGGCGCAGGCCAGGCCGGGCGCGCGCCGCCGCCCCACGCACAGCAGGTCCTTGGCGATCTTCAGGAAGTAGCTCCGGAACTTCTGGCCCACGAAGGCGTAGAGCACAGGGTTGAGGCAGCAGTGCAGGAAGGCCAGCACCTCGGTGCCCGTCTCCAGGTAGCCCAGCGCCTTCTCGCCCTGGCAGGACCGGCCCACCTTGCCCAGCTTCACGGCCGTCACCAGCAGCACCACATTGTGAGGGACCTGACAGGCCAGGAACACGAGGACCACGGCGACGATCACGCGGATGGCCTTGTGCCGCTTGGAGTTCTGGGCCTGCAGCAGGGTCCTGACGATGAACAGGTAGCAGAACGTCATGAACAGCAGGGGGATGAAGAAGCCCGACAGCAGCTGCAGGCCCAGCAGCAGCAGCTTCCAGCGGAGGGGCTCGGAGACCCCCAGGTACCGGGGCTCGCACACCTCCCGGCCCTGCAGCCGATACTTCTGGTTGAAGATGAAGGTCCCAGTGGAGATGAGGACGGACAGGGCCCACACGGCCAGGCAGATGGCGCGGTGGTGCGCCCGCATCCGGGAGCGCAGGCGGAAGGACCGCGTGGCCTGCACGATGGCCACGTAGCGGTCCAGGCTGATGCAGGCGAGCAGCAGCATCCCGCAGTGGAAGTTGACGGCGTAGACGCCACGCACCAGCTTGCACAGGGCGCCGCTGAAGCCCCACTGGCCCGTGGCGTGCGTCACCGCCCAGAAGGGCAGGGTCAGCACGAACAGGATGTCGGCCAGGGCCATGTTCAGGAGGTACACGTCGGTCATGGACTTGGCCTTCTTGTAGAACGCGAAGGTGAGCACCACCAAGACGTTGCCCAGGAGGCCGAAGACACAGATCAAGGAGTAAGTGATGGGCACAAAGAGCCGGGAGAAGTCGCGGACGTCCTTCAGGACGCACGGGCCGGTGGGGTCCACAGCGTAGTCCGCCGTGGCGTTGTAGTCGTCATAGGCGTCCGGGTAGCTCCCTGACTCCTGGGAACGGGCGGAGGGAGAGTTAGCTGCCGGGCAGTTTTCAAGGAGCCACAGTGAACGGAACGTGTGCTCCCAGCCAACACCCGGGGCACTCACCTCACTCATGGTGCCGCCGGTTCTGGCCGAGCTGTGGGCCCGCCCACGGGGGTGACAGGAGAGGAGGGACCCTGGGCAGGAAAGGAAGCAAAAGACACGGGAGTTAAGACAAGTATTCTGGGAGGGCCAGCACACACACGCATCAGCCATCGGCACCTGTGAGAACACACTCGCCGGGAGGGCGTCACACCTCGGCCTGTCGTTAGTGGAGTAACCGCACACACACGCACACTGCAGTTAGCTGGCACACCTGTGCGCCACACAAACACGCCAGCAGGGGACAGCACCCCTCCTGGAGGCCAGACAGAAGGCTCAGGCTCCGCAGGTCACAGGGTCTCAGCCACACTACTTCTTCTTTTTTTTTAAATAGGTTTTTATTTACTTCTTTAGAGAGAGAGGATGGGAGAGGGAGAGAGAGATAGAAACATCAATGGAAGAGAATCATGGACCGGCTGCCTCCTGCATGCCCCCCCCCCCCCCGCCACACACACACACACACACACACACACACACACACACACTGGGGATCGAGCCCAAAACCGGGGCATGTACCCTGACCGGGAATCGAACTGTGACCTCTTGGTTCATGGGTCCATGCTCAACCCCTGAGCCACGCCAGCCGGCTCTGCCACACAACTTGGAAGTGGTTGTGGACAATCACACGCACGAGTGGGCTGGCCCAGACATGGCCCGTGGGCTGCAACCTGCTGGTTCCTGATCCACAGGGTGAACTCAGGAGACGCCAGCAAATTGCAGACTCTGATCTTTACAAAACCCTTCAGGCCAAACCCAGCAGAAGCGCAGCAACCAGGCCCCCTGGCGAGCTTTGTGCAGAGGAATCGGTCCGAAAACTGACAGCTCGCAGGGCTGGCCTGAAAAACGCTTGCGGCACAGCTCAGGGTGCTCACGTGCCGCACATGAGAGCTGGCCATGGGGTTTCTTTAAACTGAACGTGAGGGCCGTCCTCAGGATATGCTGACAGCCTGCGTGGCTAGGAAAGGCAGCGGGAATACGTATATCGACACTAGAGGCCGGGGCACGAATTTGTGCACCAGTGGGGTCCCGTGGCCTGGCCTGAGGGATACAGGATTCCGAGGGACCCCACCTGTGCACCATCCGGGCCAAGGAGGGACGCGGGAGGTTGGCCAGCCGGGGAGGGGCCCTGGGAGGGCTCCAGGGCAGGTCTGGCCCATCTCGCTCAGTCCCGATTGGCTGGACCACAGCAGCAAGCTCACCTACCAGAACGTCTGCCCCCTGGTGGTCAGTGCACGTCATAGCGAGCAGCTGAGTGATACTAAAAGCCTAATATGCTAAGTGTCCGGTCGTTCAGTTGGCTGTTCAACCAATCAAAGTGTAATATGCTAATGATATGCTAAGGCCACTCAACTGCTCGCTATGACGTGCACTGACCACCAGGGGGCGGACGCTCAAGGCAGGAGCCTCTCCCGCCTCCACAGCAGCACTAAGGATGTCCAGCTGAAGGCTCCTGGGCTGCAGGCCAGGCTGAGGGATCCCCCACCAAGTGCACGGATTTCATGCACCAGGCCTCTAGTGTGTGAGTGTGTGTGTGTGTGTGTGTGTGTATCTCCAATGCTCACACTTCTTAACAGCCACTCATCTGCCAGGCAGACATGGCACGACCCTCAGAACTCGCACGTGGAGGAGGTTCAGAGGGCGTGATTGTAAAAGGCTCGTGGACAGACCCGCTCAGTGGTGGGGAACGCAGCAAGGGCGACAGGGAGGGGCACGCCTGCGGGAAGTGGGCTCGGAGCACTGGGTGTCCGCCACCAGCCCCCCCACCCACCTGTTAGAGCTCTCACTGAGCTGCAAGGTGCTGGGGAAGCCAGGAGGGGGCGCCGCGCGGAGCCTGGCTCCAGAGGTCGACCGGGAGGTGAGTGAGGGCGGGACTGTCTGGGAGTGAAGGGGACTCCATCCCGAGACAAAACCGGGAGGAAGAGGCTTTGCTCCTTCGTGCCCATCCTCCGCCTTCCGCTGTGTCCTCATCCTGCCTTCCTCTCGCACATGCCCCCCCCCAACCCCCGCTCAACCCCTGGCCTGGAGTTCTCCCTGCCACTCACTCGTTCTCATCCTCTCTCCGAGCCCCTGCCGTGTGGCCGGGAAAGGTCAGGAGGGAGACACGGTCGAGGCAGGTGGCGGGTGCCTGGTAGGGACACGGCTCCCACCTGCCAGTCCGTCCTCACCTGCAGCCAGTGTGTGTCCGCGTGAGAGGAGGGAGCCTGACGGGTTCCTGCGCGTGTGCCCCCCACTCTGTCCCTCGAACGCACGATGGGTGGCCTCACCCCTCCCTCCCGTTGCCGGGAGCTGGCACCTGCAGGCACCTGTGGCCGCCTCCCCATCGCGGCTCCGAGGCAGGGGGCCTGTGGGCGGGGGGGGGGGGTGGGAGCCTGCGGGAAGCGGGGGGCAGGGGGGGGGGCCCTGCGGGAGATGGGGCCGCGGGAGTTGCTGGCCGGCACTCCGAGGTGAGGGTGTCTGTTTAATCCCCTCTGATTCCTACTTTGATTAGGATTTCAGGACTCAGCACAGGGACCCTGGCGTGTGACTCCGTGCTGCTTGGGGATGGTGGCCGGGACCCTCGGGGTTCAAAGGGCACACACCTTCGGACAACGCCCAGTCGGCACATGTGGCTGAGAATCTCGCAACCCAGACCGCAGCCTGTCCGTGTGTTCCCGGCACCCACCGCTGCTGGAGGTGATTCACCGGCCCAGGCCACTGTGTCACCACAAACATCACGTGGACCATTTCAGGGAAGCGGTGTGGGTGACACATGCCACCACGACACGTCAGGGGGCCTGCACACGCCTGCTCACGTGAACCGCCCAGCTCAGCTCTTTGGAGAAACACCGTTTCTGTCCTGAAGATTGTGGCGGAGGGGGAGGGGTGCCCTGGGGTAGGTGAGTTTGGGAAACGCTGAGGGCACCCTCCTCCTGGACGTTTAGCAGAGCCGAGGCCAGTGCCCTGAGAGCTGTGCTCGAGGGTGGCCCCTCCCTCCCCGCTCAGCGCTGCCGGGACACGGGACAGCCGGACCGGGACAGCCGGGACACGGGACAGCCGGGACATGGGACAGCCAGGACACGGGACAGCCAGGACACGGGACAGCCGGGACATGGGACAGCCAGGACACGGGACAGCCAGGACACGGGACAGCCGGACCAGGACAGCCGGACCGGGGCTGCTCAGGACCCACTCGGTGCCACGCCAGGAGCACGGGTGCCGGCGCTCAGGCAGCAGCTGGCCTCCTGCAGGTCCCTCCCCCGCTGCACCCCGCGGCTCTCCCTTCCCGCACACAGGCCACACTGGCCCTTCCTGGGACTGCAGGTCGGGCTGGAGAGCAAGTCCACGCAGCGCCCGAGCGAAACGCAGGCCGGCGGCCAGGCCTCTGCCCTTCGACTCAACGTCGCAGACTGTGCTGCCACACGTGGAAAGTGTTACTTGGAGAAACACTCGGCGTTACTGATGGTCACATTTTACAGTATTAACGTACACTTTGCAATAAAATAATGTGGCTTCCTGGTCCCGTTTTTGTTTAGGCAGCACGAGCAAAACACATCTCAGACACTAGCAGCGAAAAGAAGGTGCCCTACAAACCAGAGCGTCGGCCCTGGCCGGTGTGCTCAGTGGATAGCGCGTTGGCCTGGGCACTGAAGGGTCCCAGGTTCGATTCCGGTCAAGGGCATGTACCTCGGTTGCGGGCACATCCCCAGTAGGAGGTGTGCAGGAGGCAGCTGACGGCTGTTTCTCTCTCATCGATGTTTCTAACTCTCTATCCCTCTCTGTAAAATCCAATAGAATATATATTTAAAAAACAAAAACAAAAAAACAGAGCCAGGCAGGGAGCCACGGAGGGGATGGCGTCCACAGCAGCTCCCGGAGAGCCAGGCGGTGCCGGCCTCCCACACCCATCGCAGAGACCTCAGCGCCTCCTCAGAAACCGCTGCTCGACGCGGAGGCTTTGGGAGTCTCTGGCCACATCAGGTGCCCAGGACAGGTGGGCAGCACTGGCGTCCCAGCCGGTATCGGGCAGCAGACAGCGAGCCCACAGGGAGTAGTGGCCGATCCCCGTGGGGCCAGGGGAGGGGCAGCGAGATCCCAGAGCAGAGGAGGCTGGAGAGGCGGGGAGGCCGACGGGCCCTCCGATCCTTGGGCCACTGGCCAGGGCAGACTTACCCAAGACAATTAACGTGGGAAAGCGTCGTGCGTAACAGCATCGAGAGACTGCCAGCAAGGAAAACTGCTAACAGTTTAACTCAAACAAATCTAGTCACAAGGTTAAGTTCGTTAAAATTAAATCAAAGCAGAGACTTAAAAGCTGTGCTTATTTTCATAAATAGGGAAGCCTGCAGGGCAAGGGACAAGACTGGAAAAGAATATGAGTTATGTGCACGTGTGTTGTACATCAATCGATGCACGCATGTGCAGTGTGCATGTGTTCGCGTGGATTGTGCATGTCCCATGTGTGCCCGTGTGTGCATGCGTGTGCACGCGTGTGTGCAGAAGTTCTAAGTGCATCCTGGACACCGGGAACCACTGCTCTTCGCCATGGTCTCGAACCTCGCACACCCCTGAGGTGGACAGTGCACCTGGCCTTGTAGCCAGGACACCATCCCCGCCGAGAGACTGAGGGCTATGCCCTCCCCACCCACCTCCTGTGCCCAAGGGCCTCCGGGGGCTGCGAGGCGCCCGAGACCTTGTATGGAGCGCAGTTTAAAACCTGGCTCTGAGGCCGGAGCCCCCGGCCGCCGCCTGTGCTCGGGGAGCGTGTGCTTTCTCGACGCCTCTGAGCCGGGCTCGGCCGCGGCCGTTTTTAGATCCGGCGGTGGGCTGGAACTCGCTGCTTCCTTCTGCTTTTGGGTGAGTGCGGCCGCGGCCAGAAGGTGTTTTCCGCGACTTGGGTCGAGGCCTCTGTGCTCTTTCTCTTTTTCCTGTTGGTTCCTTTGGCTCCTTCGGATGCTGCTTTTGCAAGTTCTTTTTCATTTACAGAAACCATGTCTGTGACCCTCTCAGAGTCGCGCTAACTGGGACACTGCGTCTATCTCCACAGCACGAGCCCCCAGCCTGCACTTCTGCCCCCACAGGCGTGGGGGACGCTGCCAGGCTCTCAGGGGTCATCATTGTGTAGCTCCACGGCCGCAGGCGCTGGCGCCTCGTCGGGGCACCTGCGTGTGAGCAGAGCTGCTCCTGGATCACTGAGCCCAGAACACGCCCACCGATCGGCTGGTCCACAGCCTCCCCGAGGAGCCCCTTCCCCCTGGTGCCCGCCACCCCCCACCCCCCAGGCGGGCTCCGTGCCTGGAGGTGCACAGGGCACCGTTTGCATCGCCCCAACATCTCTGAGCTCAGCTGTCAGCTTGGCCAACTCTGCGCTCAGCTGAATAGAGACCGTGCGTCCCTCCAGAAGCAGGGCCCGGACCACCGGGCTCCGGGGAGGGTGATGCGGACGGAGCAGTCCCCATCCTCCCAGGCGTGGCCTTGGGCACAGGACGGACGCCGCTGAGACCAGAGGCCCACGTCTGTCGTGGGCGTTTGCCGATGCGCACGGTCGGCCGCTGCACCCGGAGCCGGAGTGAGCGGTTCTGTCTCGGGTCCCTCAGACCAGGGGCAGCGAGCGGAGGCCAGGAGGCCGGAAAGGACAGGCCCCGTCGCCCGCTTACCTTAGCGACGCCGCGATCCGCAGGGCGTTCCGGCCACGCGCCCGGCGACGCTCCAGGCTCCCACGTCGGCCGCCCGGACTGAGAACAAGACGGGGCTCCTGGTCATTGAGGGAACCTCGGGGCGAGACTGACATTGGCCCGAGCACAGACCACTTCCTACTTAGAAGCAACGCCCATCTGCCCAAATGCAGATGTTAACCATCTGCAACCCGGAGGGGGTAGCCTAGTCATGTGACTCCCGGCAGAGCCAGGAGCGGGGACCTGGGGGGCCTGCCCTTCCCCCCGCGTCTCCTGTCAGCAGGGGCACCTGGCGGGCTGTCTGGGCGGCGAGGAAGCGCTGAGCCGAGGCCACCCGAGCTGGTCCCCGACCCTCCCCACACCGCACCCTCCTCCTGCGCTGGAGACGGGACAGTCCCAGCCTCGGGCGCCCGGGGGGTGGCGGGCGGGGCGGCTCAGACAGCACCTGGGCGGCTCTGAGTGCACAGCTCCCTGAGGGCGGCCACCGTGTCACAGCAGGTGTCTCTCCCGGAGGCTGTGGCCTAGAACGCTGCAGCGTCCATGTCGGACACAGTCACGTCGCAATACACACACGCGCACACGCACACGCACACACACGCAAGCCCCAAAGCGGGGACTTGGTCACCCTATGGCACCCCCGGTGGGAGGAGCAGCTGCTGGAGACCCCCCGGGGCGCCGTGCTCAGGGCCAGGCCTCCAAGAACTGTCAGCGGAAAGACGATGGAGGAGAGGCTTCACCACAGCAGCGTGTGGCTGTGACAGGCCCGGAAACACCGAAAGTGTCACCACCGAGGGACCAGCGACCGAGACGTCAGCTTTCACTGCTCAGGCCACTGCCCTTCCCGCCGGGGACCGGTGTTCACACGCCGCCCACCTCCCTCCCTCCTTCCCACGGGCCCAGCCCGGCCGCCCCCACGCCTGCCGAGCGCAGGTGCGGCGTCCCCTGTCTCTGCTCTGGGCCCGGTGACCACAGCGGGCCTTTTCCAGGCAGACCCACGGCCACCCCGCACCGACCACCCCCGCACTGGCCGCGGGTCCCCGTCTGCCCTCCCTGGCCCCCGTCTGGCTTGGGGACCGTGGCCGGGACCTCCACCCTCCTCTGGGCTCCGGCCTGGGCTAAGGGTGGAGGCTGCCAGCAGGGGTGCCGCCAGGGGTGCGGGGGGAGGAAGGGGAGACACCACACAGTCCAGACCCCTCTCTCCCCGGCCCCCCAGCCCCCCTCCCATGGTCCTATTTAGCGTGAAGGCGGGACGTGAGCCTGTGGCAGGAATGACGGCCCAGGAGGCGCTGCCCGAGAGAAGAGAAGCAGACGGGAGCGGCCCACGGGCAGTTCTGTGTGGCCGCGTGGCGGAGGGCTGGCTGAGCGGCCTAGTGGCCGGTCCTCCCCTGGAAGACCAGGGACCGGGGGCGGGGGGCTCAGAGGGGTGACCCCCTCCACCTGCGCCCTCGCTGCCGCCAGAGGGAGGGCCTCAGAGACGGGGAGGGGCTTCCAGCCCTGCCCTGCGCGCTGCTGTCCCTTCTACGCCTGAGGCTGCTGCTCTGGACTCACTGGCCTGTGCGGGGTCTGGAATGTTCTATGTCCCAATATTCCTTCTGTATTTCAAGGTGAAACCCCCCGTTATACAGCGATGGTTCAGTCACCACCCCGTGCTCCGCTCCCCACACGGCTCCACAGCGGGCAGCGCGCCTCGGCCTGAGGGACCCACACGGTGGGAGAGCGAGCACACGCGGGGCCAGGCCAGGCGGCCACACCGGGCTGCCCGGGGCTGCTGCTGGGAAGCCGCACTGGGACTGTGAGGGGCGGCTGGGGGGGCGGGGCTCAGCCAGGAGACGCAGGAACCTGCCAGTGGGCAGGGGCGGAGGCCGCAGCGTGACCAAAGGGAAGTGGGGACACGGCCACACAGAGCAGGTGCGGGCTGGACGCGGGCGGCCGGGGCTGTGGCTGGCGGGCAGCAGGTTCACAGAACACGAGGAGACACAGGAGACAGACGAGGAGCGGCCAGGGCGCGGGGCGGGGGTCGCAGCCGTGGGCGGGCTGGCGGCAGGCTTCTCCGGGGGCCTGGGGGTGACACTTGGGGTTCCCCTTATTCTGCCTCACTAACCCCTGACGGGTCGGTGTCCTCACTGTGAAACTCAGAGGGAAAGCAACTTCCTCAACTCCACCCGCCTGGAGAGCCACGTCCCGGCCCGGAAAGGTCACGGGGAAGGAGGCAGGAGACGATGCCTGATTCCCGTCCCGACAGAACGGGGCCGCGGGGACGGGGGGCGCACCCTGGGCCTCTGCACAGGGGTCCACAGAGGGGCTGTCGAGGCCGGTCCACGGGGAAGGAGACACGCTCCCTCCGAGGCTCACGGATGCGAAGGGACAGGGACGGTGTGCGTGGAGGCTCCCGGATGCGAGGGGACAGGGACGGTGTGCGTGGAGGCTCACGGATGCGAGGGGACAGGGACGGTGTGAGTGGAGGCTCCCGGATGCGAGGGGACAGGGACGGTGTGAGTGGAGGCTCCCGGATGCGAGGGGACAGGGACGGTGTGCGTGGAGGCTCCCGGATGCGAGGGGACAGGGACGGTGTGCGTGGAGGCTCCCGGATGCGAGGGGACAGGGACGGTGTGCGTGGAGGCTCCCGGATGCGAGGGGACAGGGACGGTGTGCGTGGAGGCTCACGGATGCGAGGGGACAGGGACGGTGTGAGTGGAGGCTCACGGATGCGACTTCAGAGCTGAGTCGGCCACTTGCCCTTCAGGTTCCCTCCGGGCGGCTGCCCTCATCAGCAGAGTGAGGACTGAAGGTTTGGGAGGACGCGTGTGCACGTTGGAGACGCCCCAAGCGCATCGCCCACAGTGCTGGGCACCAGCCGCGGACGGTGATGGAGGCGACATGAGGGGCGGCGGTGCCCGCGTGCTGTCCTGCGGGGCCTCCGCCCGAAGGCGGGGGAGCGTGTCCAGGTGGTGAGTCGGCCATGAAAGGGGCTGTCCCTTCGGCCAGTCCTACCCGAGGCCCCAGGTCAAGCTGTGACCCCGCCTTCCTGCGGCGCTAGACGGGCCTCAGTGCGACCGGAATTTAAAAGTCAACGTGAAACTCGCCGGACGGTGCTCCGAGGCAGCAGGGGGCTGAGTGGACACGATGGGGAGGGGGTGCGGGGGGGGGGAGCTGCTCTGTCCCATCTCCTGCCTCCCGGGCGCTGAACGCCGGGGCCACCGTGGGACCAAGCGGAGCCTCTAAGAGCAGCGACGGGCGGATTGCAGGGTCGCCTGTGTTCACGGCCGGAAACATCCCCCTGCCAGCCCTTTCCTGGCCGTCCCCCCGGGGGCCCCAGGCCCCCCACTTCCTTCTCTCAGTTTCCAGAACGGAGAACACATTCTCTCGCCTCAGAGGCAGATACAGGAAATGGGAGGGGGGAGCCCTGCTCAGCACAGAAGCCAGGCCCTGGCGTCCGCGTGGCTGACCCCACCGGCTGCTGCATCAGTAAAACAGCTCCAGGCTCGAACCCGCTCCCTCGTGGACGTGGCTCTCCCGGACCCACTGCAGCATCTCAGCCTCTCCCATGAGGCACAGCTGCCGTCACCAGAGCGGGGCGGAGGGGGGTGCCTCGCGGGTCAGCCCGTTTCAGGGGCGCAGGGGGGGCCTGCACGCCCTGCCCCGCCCTGCGGAGCCCGCGGCTCACAGTGACAAGCAAGACCCAGAGACACGGGCGTGTTCATTGCGCTCGGTCACACACACAAGCAGTGATTTGTAGAGTCACCAAAATATCTGTTTATCTACTGGAAAGCGATGTGAAAGCCGCACTCCGTGGGTGCTGGGGCCCCACTGAGCGATGCCTGAGAGATAACCCACCGCGAATCCACGCGCCCCCCTGACGGCAGGTTGGGGGGGTGGAGGGGCGAGCGGAGGGCCCGCCCGCTGACTCAGTGGCTCCCGTGACCCAGATGCGGGTCCTTTCGTTCTGTGTCATGGGAACCTGTGGCAGCTGATAAAGGCACCACAGGGATGCAGGTGTGAAGGTGCGGCGGCAGCCACAGGGGGCGGCCCAAAGCCGGTTTACAATGCAAGGAGCACGGGCCTCCCTGGACGGCCCCCAGCCTGGAGGGGGGTCCACGTTGCTGGTGCACACAGACCCCTCCCGGGGGCTCGGGCCGCCCGAGGCCCCGCTCAGAGACCGCCTTGAGCAGAAGGGCCTCGAAGGCCTCAGCGAAGTACACGCCACTTCTAACCCCTAAGCTCATCCTCCCTTCGCCCCCAGCACCCCGGGTGCTTGGGCGTGGCCAGTAGGAGGGGCAGCGCCGGACACGGGTCCGCAACTCCGTCCAATGAGAAAGGTGCCGACCGACCTGCAGGGCCGAGGGCCTGGCCCACCCCAGTTCTAGGATCCCAGGCTGTGGTGCCCACTTGCCAGGTGGGAGTCCACTGAGCCCAGGGCCACGGTCACAGGGCGGCCTGGCCCCTCCTCGGTGACGGTGCTGCCCGCCCCCCCCCCCCGCCCTCTCCCCCCTCTCTGCTGGTCGCCCTCACATCTCTCCTTCCTCCTCCTCCCCCCTCCCTCCCCATCTCGGACCCTCTCCCCTCTCCCCTCTCCCCTCTCCCTTCTCCCCATCCTCCCCCTGCCTGTGCCACTTCCTCTCTCGCCCCACACTGGGAAAGCTCCACCACGCGGAGGGTGTGGGGGAGCAGCCCCTGACGTGGGGTCCCCGTTAGCTGTCATGGGCCCTGAGCCCCGGCCCGCCCGGGCGCTCGCACACGTCAGGGGAGCAGGGCCAGGGAGCCGGCTCGTTCGTGGGACAGAGTCCCCGGGGATCTTGCCACTGAGGCTGAGCGTTTGCACGTTGGATCCTTTAAAACCGGAGACGTGGCCAACGAAAAGCCTGCTCGGCCCCTCGCGGGCCTGCCTGCAGCCCGGTCACCACGGACCAGCCCCCCACCCACCCAGGGCCGCAGATGCCGGCTGCTCGGGCTGCGTTCCTGCCCCAGGGGAGCTCACTGCATCCACCTGTACGGGGGCGGGGGTCCCTTCCCAGCGTCTGAGGGCGGGGCCTCCGTCCTGCCTGGGCTCCCCGAGACTGACCCCGGGCTGACCTCCTCCCCGCTCCCCTGGGCGCTGGGAGCCCCCAGGAGAGGGGTCAGCACCTCGAGTGCCCTTGAGCCCCCGCCCCCTGAAGCTTGGGGCCGTGCGGGCTTCGTGGGGTCCACGCGGCCGGTTCCTCTT